TCTGCTAACAGCCTTGCTTATGCTCTGTCTCTCTCTCTCTCAAAAATAAATAAACATTAAGAAAATGAAAAAAAAAAAAGAGTTACAGAGAGGTTACTGGTCACAGCCTCATTTGACAGGGGTGTGGGGATCTGCCAGGGAAAACAAAGTTTGAATCCTGAATATCTCCTGGTAGTTCCTGTTTGAGACTGTGGCTTGGGACTGGAAAGCTGACAGCCATGGAGGCCAGTGAAATGGAATGGTCTGTAGGCTACACAGGTGGTTTGATTCTGGTTAACCTTACCTTGTGTCCCTTTCTTTGCATAGAGCCTGCCTGCAAGTTTCTCGGGGTAACCAGAGATAGGGCAATGGACCCAGAGAACTAGGGAACCTGACACAATAGAGAGGGAGCTGAGTTTGTGCTACAGAGACTGAAATGTTCAAAATCAGGGGGAAGTTTGTGACAGTCAGAACTACAGTCACCAGAACCATAGCAAATCCAACAATCATTTGGAGCCTGGATCACTCCTGTTTGCACTGTCTTGAGATACATTTTCATTACGTGTCCAGGCCAGAGCAGGGAAAAAAGGGAAACAAAAGATCATAAAGACATTCACGGTATACAAATTGGGGAAAGGATAATCCAAGAGGGAAGAAGAGGAGCACCTGTGTAGCTCGGTCAGTTGAGCGTCTGACTCTCGATTTTGGCTCGGGTCATGATCTCACACATGGGTTCAAGCCCCATGTCGAGCTCTGCACTGTCAGCTGCTTGGGATTCTCTCTCTTCCTCAGTCTCTCTTCCACCCTCCCCATCTCTCAAAATACATACATACATACATACATACATACAAACATGAAAGAAGGAATCAAAAGAAATGTTCTTGATCCAATGTCTTGGCAGGAACCAGTCTACCCTGCTGTTGGATAGTTCTCTTACTAGTCAATATGATTTGAGGTCTCCAGATTCTTTCACAGAACTAGATGCAGGTGGAGTCTTCTTTAGTTGTAAAATATGCACCCAAGGTTTGGCACCTTGTAGTTTGGCAGGGGGGTCAGTGGTCAAGTATCACTTGGTAAGGTCCTTTCCACAAATCTCACTGTTGCAAAGCCATTAGAGTAAAACGATAACTATTTATAAATGACAAAAGACTTATGCCCAAGGGATAAATATCCTGGGAATTTACTATAATGAAATTGACAAGGAAATTTGGTTATTTCTGTGACATACAACATTTTAAAAAAATGTTTATTTATTTTTCAGAGGGAGTGACAGAGAGACAGACTGCAAGTGGGGGAGGGGCAGAGAGAAGGGGAGACACAGAATCCGAAGCAGGCTCCAGGCTCTGAGCTGTCAGCACAGAGCCAGACGTGGGACTCGAACTCACGAACCGCGAGATCATGACCTGAGCCGAAGTCAGACCCTTAACTGACTGAGCCACTCAGGTGCCCCAACATTTTTTTTTTTTTTATAAATGTTTCTATTTATTTTTGAGAGAGAGAGAGAGAGAGAGAGAGCATGCATGAGTGGGGAGGGGCAGTGGAAGAGGGGGACAGAGGATCTGAAGCTGGCTCCTCGATGACAGCAAAGAACCTGATGGAATGCTTGAACTCACTAACAATAAGATTGTGACCTGAGCTGAAACCAAGAGTTGGATGCTTAACCAACTGAGCCACCCAGGCTCCCCTGTGACATACAACATTTTAAGGTCATAACTAAAATTATGACTGGTAATATTATGCCAGGACATTTCAGGTTTATGGGAATTGTATATAATTTCTGGGACATTTATATTAAGTGTTTTGAGGATCTTTTTGCATGACCCTTTGGGAAATCTCAAAGTTACTTTGAGGTAAAAAAAACTTTATATAGAATTTGATTTGGGGAAGTCGTCAAAACATCCTAAGGTCTGAACGTTTGAATAAACAGGATCATAGATCATTATGAAAAAAAAAAACAACTTAATTATCTATTTGATCAAAGTGACAATAGAAGATATTAAAGTCAAATACAAAAAATTACATCATTGTGAGCAAAACTTAACTCTCTCAATATTGAGAAGACTGGGTTTTCTTAAGTAATCAAAGACCTGATGAAGACAATGTGAAACACAGTAAATTATTTTGCTAAAACACAAAATCTTTGCTATCTCGGTGAGATACCCACAAGGTAAAGAAGCTTTTATAATGTCTTATCTAAAGCAGACCAAAAGTCTAAGAAATTTTGTCCTTTTAGTAGACACAAAGCCAAATTCTAATTTTGCATCAGTGTCCTTTTGATATTAAAACTCATTAAAACAATAGCAACAACAAAAAACAAACTTAAATCCATTCCAATTTTAGCCAGTTTGACTACACATAATATTCCCTTCCCCAGGTTGCTTTTCCATAAACCTTTACAACTTTATTATATCCATTCGGATTGGGTCCCTTTTTTTTTTTTTTTTTAAATTCTGGAACAACCAATAATTTTATTTTCCATTACACAGCTGTTTCCTTTCACCCTTATTATTTCTAAGCAGTTTTAATTATATGTATCAATTAGAATTCTTAACCCTTCGAATCCTTAATTCCAAGAGAAAACTAAGAAGTAAGCAATTGTGACTGTCTTTTACACTATCATTCTGTGGACTGACAAACTTATTTCATAATTTCTAGAAGCATATTCTTCTTCATAGTAAAGTTTTCAATGTGACACAAAATATGTTTTAATAGACCCAAATATCTTTACTTCCTCTGTAAATGGAAGCCGCAGTAGGTAAATCTATGTTCAGTAATTAATGTTTCAGTCAGTGTTTTATATTATTTGGAAATGATCTAGACATTCAATGAATATCCATTATTTAACTTATCGCAGCGTAACTTTAAGATTCTGGGTTGCCAACAATTTTGGAAGCTATTTAAGTAGATACACCATAAAACATAACCATTGCTGAAAAGTTCACCTAAAAACTGTTATCTCACTTGTACCTATCTAAATGCTTGTATTTAAATATTCAGATTGTGCATGAAAATTTCACAAAAAAGGTAGGCATATACTAAGTTATTCTTCTTGCTGACAAATTTTGTAACGGAGATAATACAAACTTATTAAACCCAAGTAAATTAAAAGTTGTAGTTTTACAATATATCTAATGCTGACAACTGTGAAGACATACCTATTTTAATTAAGCCAATAAACTGAAACTAGCATTTATTTACCAAAGATTATCCCAGATCACATGAACCTGAAAACCATCTGGGTCAATTTCATTACTCTGAGAGTCTGAAAATACTTAATTTGCTAAGTGCTTATTTTTCTTTTAGCCAACTAAAAAGACCTCCTTTATAATTTGATTTTGACCATACCATCCAGAGGTAGAAAAATATCACATATCTATAATGTACATACATAACAGATGTGTCTATACAGATAGACACAAACAGAGATTTGTAACTTTTGTTTTTAAAGTTTTAGCCATGTGTCAGGTATAATAATACAAAACTCAACAGTTTATAAATGATACTTAAATCCAAATTGTGTTTCTGGCATTTGGAATAAGTTAAAGTTATCTGCTCAGATGGCTAAAGCTTTTTGTTAATATTTGTTTTTTTTCTTAATTTTTTTTTTTAACGTTTATTTATTTTTGAGACAGAGAGAGACAGAGCATGAATGGGGGGATGGTCAGAGAGAGAGGGAGACACAGAATTCGAAACAGGCTCCAGGCTCTGAGCTGTCAGCACAGAGCCTGACGCAGGGCTCGAACTCATGGACCGCGAGATCATGACCTGAGCTGAAGTCGGAGGCTTAACGGACTGAGCCACCCAGGCGCCCCATCTTTTTGTTAATATTTGTAACAAGACATTTAAGATTTTTCATTTATTTATTTTCCAAAACATGCCCCCCTGCTTTTTTTTTTTTTTTTTTTTGCCCTCTGATAAGAATTACCTCCTTGAAGTTTGCACTTCAAAGACGATGGCCTAGATGAGAGTTCCTGGACAGAAGTGGTTAGAATATTCACATCTCAAAGTCTTAGTGAAAGAATGCAAGTTCTTCCAAGAGGGAATTCCATTTTCCAAGACCAGAGTTTTAGAATACTTACAAGACTTTTGAGACAAATAGGGGACGTTTGGGGATTGATAAAAGGGATAGGTGGACTTCGAACTGCTTCTGGAGCTGTATTTTTGTTCTCGTAAAGATTCAGTTTATAAGATGTGGACCATTGTTCTTAAGTCCTCAAGGAATTGGGTTGCAACTTAAATGGCACCATAGGCTGATCCATTCATCCAACTACATTACCCTCAGTTTGCTTCTTTATATCAGGCAGAAGATCTTCAACAAAAATGGAAGTCAAAAGATTCCTATATTCTAGATTTAGAGCTGTTTGTCTTTGGAATATTTTTCTTTCCCTTTGGGTATATACTTCCATGTTGCTTAGGAGTAAAGGCCCCAAAAATAGTTCCTATGAGGCTCTAAATATCCAATTTAGATATTGGATATTGGAATTTAGATATTGGCTTCCAATTTGGCCAACTTCTGGCCATAGAGATACTAAAGAAAATCCTTTCAAATATCTTGTTAGGTTCATCCAGAACAAACAGCAAATATTTTTGGCAGTATTGAAGAACTCCTAGGACTCAAGAAGCTTCTCCAAAGACAGTGCTAAGAATACTATTCTCCTGAGATCCAGAGCCACTCCCAAAGATAGCCCAAAGGAAAAAAGATAATTCTCTTGAAAATGCAACAGCTGGTAGGATCCTATCTCTAAATGGTATAACAACACACATTTCTCTCCAGCCATATTTTTCGTGCCCCTGATCTGATGGTCGTCAAGCCAAATTCCCAGGGTTCCGCGTGGAACTGTTTGCCAGCTCCAGCTGACCTGCTAGGTCTTGGACTGGAATCTGGACTAATTTAGGATTAAGGGCTAGTGATCTGTTAAGGTCTTTTGTTGGTCTAGGTTGACACGTTAACCCTGGACTCAAAAGCCAATTTGATCAGAAGCTCAATGTAAAGAGAGCAGAGCTCAGATGTGAGAACTTACCCACAGCCCTCAGAAACCGGAAGAAAACTCAAGGGGTCTGCAGGTAATGATGTCTGTGTTTCTCCTTGTCCCTGAAGCTGTCAGATGTCTTCTTCAAGTCCCATCACTGCCATGAGACTGTTAAAGAAACAGAATTCAAGTAGATTTGAGTAAATGTTAAAGATCTCCTTGGCTTTATTCCATGATTCAAGAATTGGGCAGCATCCAATCTAGCACATAGAAAGGAGCTCTGAGGGCCGTGCGTGGGTGGCTCAGTTGGTTAAGCATCTGACTCCTGATTTCAGCTCAGGTCATGATTGCTTGGTTCATGAGATTAAGCCCCACATCGGGCTCCCTGCTGATAGCATGGAGCTGCTTGAGATACTCTCTCTCTCTCCCCCCTCTTCCCCTGTCCCACTTGTGCTCTCTCCCTCTCAAAATAAATAAACATAAAAAAAAAAAAAAAGGAGCTCTGGGGAGCTGTACAAAATGAAAGACTTGCCGGCAGAAAGAAGTGGAACAAGGAAGTAATACTAGGCAAAAAAGCAGGTGAGTTACTGTAAGGTCACTTTCCTTTAGAAGATGGTAGGAGTGTCTCAGACAGATTATCCATCTATAGCTGACCAGGCAATTCCTGATTGATGGTTTAAGATTCCATTCCTTTGACACCCTGATCTCAGACTCTACCCTCCAGAATTGTGAGAAAATAAATTTGTTTTTTAAGTCAAGTCAGTCTCAGTTTGGTGATGTGGGGCTTAGTATAAACAACTCCCTTTTTGGCCTGTTCTTCTGGTTTTTCACATTCTTATCATAGCTTAATTTCACCTATTGTAACTCTTCATATAGGTGGAATCATAAAGTACGCACTGTTTTACAAAAGGCTTTTTCTTTTCACTTTTTTTTGGTGCATAGACATATTCTGATAATCTAGGCTTACTGTATCAGTTTTGGTAAACTGATTTTTTAAAAAAATTCTATTTCATAAAAATTGCTAAATTTATTAGCATAAAGTATTCATGATATAATCTTTTAAAGGTCTATAAAATCTATAGTTACAACCCTTCATTCAATCCTGGTATAGGAAATCTGTGCTTTTTTTTCTCTTTTCCTTGATGAATATTATGAAGGTTTATATCAATTTTATTAGCCCTTTTAAGGAATCAATTGCTGACCACATTGATTTTCAATATTATTTGTTTGTTATTTAATGGACCCCTGTTTTATTTTTAATTACAGGTATTTCCCTCTAACGATGCTTTAGCTGCACTAGATGCTTCAGCTGCATCAACTGTATTATTCTCATAGCTTTTGTCTTTATCATAGCTATTTTCCTGGATTTCCTGATCAAATATTTCATTCTCTGGCTTTAATTGTAGCATTGATATTTAAAACACATGATGTGGTGATGCTTTCAAGATACAGGCAAATAGCTCTTTTAAAATGATCTGAAACACTTCTTGCATTTTTCTGATAAAGATTTCTTTGCAAGAAAATGATCACATTTTTTCCCCACCGAATTAAAAAGAAAACTGTGCATTTGAAAATAACAAGTCACTAAGTTACATGCAAACTTTTTGAACCATGAATCTTTTTGAACTCGTGAATCTTGAGATTAAGACCTGAGCTGAAGTCAGATGCTTAACTGACTGAGCCACCCAGGTGCCCCAAATGTAAGGGACTTTTTGTTTTCAAACTTTATCTTCAATTATTTCATAGTTATTGTTCAACATCTTGTGATTCACTGCTCCTTTGTAGAATAAACAAGAACATGTTTAATGCAGGCAAAGTAATTTCTTATACTATTTGAGAACTCCTCACTAAAGGTATTAACTACTCTTTTCCACCTCTCTGCATTTTAGAGCTTATCTGTTTGAACATTTAAACGTAAATCTCTCAAGAGAAGCAACCAGTCACTATTTAGTGAGTACCAATAGAGTCAAGGCCAGTAATAAAGAATATGTCCTTGCATATCAATGAGGTGATCCAAGTTCTCAAATTACTCCCTTTTCTCTACCTTCTCCTTCTCTTCTTTTCTTCCTCTTCCTTCAACTAAATTCCTATTTCTTAAATGGAAAAGAGTGCACTTTCCCACAGAGAATATACATATGAAAAAAAGGCACGCAGAAGTTTTCATTTTTGCATAATTGAATTGGGACAAGGATAGAAAGCAATGTTAAGGTCAATGCTGTTGCTTTAGTAACACATAGTATCCCTATGCACATCCTGCCACAAGGACCAGGAAAAATGGATACTATGTGGCAGTTATGCAGTTACCACTCCAGATGCCGGAAGTTGAACAAAATGAATTTGGGAGACAAAGAAAGGGAGTTCTGTTCATTCAAACCAAAGTGGAGTAAAACCTGGAAGAGGTCATTGGAGGTATGTTAAAAGAAAGAAAGAAAGGAAGAAAGAAAGGAAGAAAGAAAGAAAGAAAGAAAGAAAGAAAGAAAGAAAGAAAGAAAATGTTAATATAGGAAAACAATGAGAACACATCTGAGGGAAGAAATTTGAGAGGAGGAAATACTAATAGTTAACAAACAAGAAAAGATGCATACCTACAAAGGATGTAAGGATAATGAATATTTAAATCGTATATCATTCCATACCCATCAGATTAGCAAAAAGTAAAATGCCTAAAAGTAAAGCATTGATGAGAACGTGGAATTTCATACACTATTGGTGGGAGTGTAAAACAATACAATTACTTTGTAAAGCAATTTTGCTGCATTTATTATGCTGGATACTTCCTGGTTATCCCTCCAGACCCAATGTCTTTCTTGGCTCAGCATTTTGCCCTAGGAGGTGGACCTTATATGAACAGTCTCCCAGGTTCTTTGGCTTCCTGATGGGTTCAGTGGAAGATTGGAAGACGAGAGGGAAGTGAGTTCATGGTATTTATTTTGTTGCTCTTCTCACATGTTTTTGTTGCATTCTATCCCTTATACCAAAGATCCTGTCTTAGAACTCTCCATGGAGTTACATTTTCTTGATCCTTCTCACTGCTTCCTCCCTTTGCTATTTAAGCCTTAAGAGTAGTATCTGCTCTTGCTAATCCCAGAGTATTGCACTATTTCCTATGTCCCTAAACTCTAAAAATGCATATTAAATAGCTTTTTTTTTTTTTTACATTCCCCATAAAGTGTCCACTTTGAATGTGTCATCTGATTTTTGCTAGGATCCCAAAGGATATCTCTGGTGAAGTTTAATAGGTATATACTTATGATACAGCAATAACAATTATTAGGTATATATATATCCTTGAGATACTCCTGTGCATTAGCTCAATGTTATACATGAATATTTATTGAAACATTGTTTGTATCAAAAAAGCAATTTAAGTGTCTAAAAACAGAAAAATAGATGAATACTTTTAAGTATAATAATACAATGTAGCATTACTCAGCAGTGAAAAGGGAAAAAAAGTATAGTAACAATGTACTAACATGGATAAAACTGAAAAGTATAATTTCGAGTAGGTAAAGTTAAGTTTGAGAAGTATATGGACAGAAAGAAGCCAGGTATATAAAAACTAATACCTATATAATGACATTTTTTGTTTAACAACTATATATATATTTCCTTAAATATACATACAAATAAAAACATAGGAATATAATAGGAATAAAAGTATACATCAGTATGATAAACTAAAATTAAGGGCAGTGGTTATCTCTAGGAAAGAATGGGATTGTTTAGAGATGCATAGAGGTCTTCAGTTCAGTTGAAATTTTAATGTTTTATTTTTTGAGACGGTAGAGGATGCTTGAGTTACTTGACCTGTTTTGTCCCTGCTTTTGCCCCCACAGACAATGTTATTACAGTTTTCTAAAATCCTGCTTAATTACCTAAGGAAAAGGCCACCTGGTGGTATTCTATATACCCTTTTGTAACATCTGTGCAGTTTTGGTTAGAGTGGAAATCCTTCATCTTTCAGCTATTTGTTCTGGACGTTAAATTTGGGAAGAACAAGTACAGATTTAAGTGAGAGCCCCGTTGCCAATTCTTCCTTGAATACAGCTGGGGACATTTTTACTGTTGCATGAGACATGATACCAAGAGACTGATAAGGGCACTCCATGAGGACAAATGTCTCCACTGCTCTCATCTTTCAGGAAATGCCCTGGCATTCATTACAGGATTATTATGGACATGGCAGAGGGATCTGAAAAAAACCCCAAAACTTTGCAATATGAAGAAGGAATATAAATTCTACATAAACTTCATCCAAATGGACTCTTTAATTTATCATGTGCTATCTCCCAAGACACAGATTGGTTGCATGAGATCCTTAAGAACTTTTTTTAACCTTTTTTTTTTCAAGAGAGCAAGAGGGCACTAGTGAGGGAGGGGAAGAGATAGAGATAGAGATAGAGATAGAGACAGAGAGAGGGAGAGAGAGAGAGAGAGAGAGAGAGAGAGAGAGAGAGAGAGAAAGAGAGAGAGAATCCCATAAGGGGCAGAGAAGAGAAAGAAGGAGAGAGAGGAAAGAGGGGCTCACCTGAAGCTGGGCTCCTGTTCACCAGAAGCTGAGCTCAAGCTCACCCAACACAGGGCGTGAGCTCACCCAGTGGATGTGGGACTTGATCTCCTGAACCATGAGATCATGACCTGAGCTGAAGTCAGATGTTTAACAACTGAGCCACCCAGGTGCTCCAATCATTTTTTTTTTTTTTTAATTGTTAAAAGAGACACCAGGAAGGGATGAAGTATCTGTATGGTATTAGCCTATTACATCACACAGTAAAATGTTTATTCTCTTTGGTAGCATTGGAATATATACGTATCTTGCCTGAGTTTGAGTCTGTACTCTGCAGGAAGGTAGAAGGCATATTCAGGGGCAGTGAGTGGTACAAATGAAGTAAAAGATGATTAAAAAAATATTTGTTATAGTTGATACCAGTTTATGAAGGATCTTAAGTAAGCTACCAAGAACTTTAAGTAAGTTGCTGACGTTCTCTGTGCCTCAATTCCCTCATTTGTGAAATGTAAAAAAATAACACCAACATCACAGAGTTGCCGTTAGGGTTATATAAGCATTTAGATGAAACTCTAGACACGCAACCAGCATGTAACTCAGAAACTGCACTCCTAGGCATTTATCCTAGAGAAATGGCAGCTTAGGTTCACTAAAACTCATACACAAATGCTCATAGAAACGTTATCCATAATAGCCCCAAAGTAAAACAATCTTGTTATTATTCTGGTATGGGCGAGGCCAACAGCTCAGGAGGTGGCTGCCACTGAAAAGAGAGTTTGTTACTCACACTTCCCAAGAAGAGGAGGCATACACTGCCTTGCCATAGTGCCTTTGCAGGTGCATCATTAGGTCATATTGGGAGGGAGGCCCCCTGCACCCAGGCGGATATTCAGGTGGTTAGACCGTCCACGGCCCCCAGGGCGGCTGAACAGGCACATACTGCGCACGCGTGTTCCCAGGGTTCCGAGCCCGGATCTCCAACAGTTCAAAGGTTGTGAGAGACAAAACTGGTGAGGCTGTTGTGGACCCAAGGATTTAACTAATTCCAAGCCATACCCTCACCAACGCAGCCTGTTCACCCCGAAGGTAGATCTGGGGAGAGCTTGAACATCTAGCCTCCTCCGCTAGGCAGGGCGGAGCTGCTGTAGGGAATCCTCCAGGAGAGACGCGTGGGAGGCACGGTTGATCCAGGCGGTGGCGCAGCCTCGGGCCTCGAGCCGGAAGTGCATTGCGCATGCGGTTCCGCTCAGTGTTCTGGAACCAGGGGGATTATGGACCAGCGGGGACCCGTATTTGGCCAGGACCAGGGTCGGAAGTGCCCGGGTCACGGTTGCCTGCTCTTGGGGGAAGTCAGGCGTCTGCTGCTTTGTACACCCGCACTGCGCAGAGGCTTCTAATCCGTGTGAAGCCGCCTCTTGCGGGAACTCGGAGGCTTTGCTTGTTGGGACCTGTTGTCTTGGCTTGAGAGACAGTGGGAGCCTGGATTCCTGTGGCAGGCCAGATCAGCAGCATGGCCAAATGGGGACTGCCTGTCGCCGCTTGTGCACAGCAGGATGGCATCGTATTTCTGCGGGTGGGAGCCCTCCGACAGGAAGATAATCCAGGTGGTTTGGCGGGGCCATGGATCCAAAGGCCTGGAGGGCCCACGCTGACCGAGGCCTGCTGAATGGGTGAGTACTTTGTATGTGTGTGCTGTGCTGTTCAGGGTAGCCAGCGAGGTGGGACAGTTCAAAGGTCATGAGAGGCAGGATCTCTGACTCAGTCTCCCCTGGGTTTGTCATGAGGCAAAGTGAATGGGAGGAAAATGAGCAAGGCTTTGTTGTGGTTCTTGCAGGAAGCAACAAGAAAGTCAGTGCAAACAGGTTTAGGATTGGTCGATTTGAATAATTTCAGCAGGTTCTGGGACCTAGGGGCTGTCCTGAGTTGCCTGGTACCTGGCCCTGGGGTGATTAGAGCAGGGGGAATATTGGTTTGGAGTGTAAGGGCCTTATACAGGAAGTGTCCACGTGGGAGTATGGGCAGATAGGTAGATGTTCACTATCTCTAGGAATTGATTAGCCTTAGAGGGTGGGGAGAAGTTTCCCCAGGATCCATAAGGCCCCAGATGTCAAAACATCATAATAAAAAGACATGTTCAATACAAACTCACATCGTTCAATGAACTGTGGTAAACCTGTACCATGGGATACTTCTCAGTAACAAAAAGGAAGAAACTATCAATGCATGAACAAATTGGATGAATTCCACTTAAACATAGGATGGGGTGTTAGTGATGTTGATGGAATGTGTTTGGCTATAAAAGGGCAACTCTTGTGATGGAAAGACACCTTGGCTATATCAATGTCGATATCCTAGTTGTGACATCATACTATAATTTTTCAGGATGTTACCATTGTGGGCAACTGGATAACGGGTAATAGGAACTTTCTTTATTTTATACAACTGCATGTGCATCTATAATAATCTCAAAAGTAAGTAAAGATAAAAAGCCTGGCACATAGAACTTACCAAATATTAGTTATTTTTCAGATTATTTGCTTTATGATATAGTAAATTTGTTACTGAATGCATTAGAGTCCATTGAGTCATTAATTCAAACATTAATTTAGCAATATTTACTGATGCTTGCACATGTAAGGTCTCATACGATAGCGGTATAAAGACAAGACTCCTGCTCTTATGTTACCTAATACAAAGAAGCAAAGAAGGATGTGATAATTATTATAATGGGAAACATAGTGGAGTACTTTAAAGCAAGGTTTAGAGCCAGGAAGACCTTTAGAATCTTCTAAACTCCTACCTGCATTTTCTCAAACAAGTTACTTGTTTATTTCTCTTGCTTTGTCTGCAAAATAAATGACAATGAAAATAATTTACCCTTTTAATATTTTTGAAGTTTAAATGAGATAATATAGTACTTTCACTTTGAATAAATATCATTTTGCACCTATGACCTGGCTCTGTAGGAGATAATGGGGATAGGGCAGCACTTAAGAAAATGACATCATTCTTCATGAAGTCTTGTGGGGTCTTTGAATACTCAGAGAGAATTACTAAGGAAATGAATGCTTTCACTGCAAGATTGGGGGCTTTTTCTTGGACTCAAAAACAGTGATACATCTCTATTTTGAGATAAATGTAAGGACCTAATGTTTGCTGCTCGATATGCTTTCTCTGTATATTACTAAAAATGTGTGCATAAGCTAAAGTATATACTTCTGTTACAATTTCATTAATGTTAGTGTATACTTGGTTTTTATAGGCAGCAGTCCATATGAAATCACTTAGCAAATGATCAAGAAATAATAGCATGCAAATAAGTGAAAGAGATATACAGTATATAGGGGTAGAAGTGATTTCTTTCAGAAAAAAAGCTTTTTGAAGGAAATAGAATTTGAATTGGACTTTAAAAGAATAGATAATATTCTAAGCATCATTCAGATCACATCTATTGAAGAAATTTAGCACACATCGTGTCCTCAAAATAAAAGGCTTTATGCACTTAAAAAATAATTTGTCTTTTTTTAAAGATAAAACAGTTTGAAATGAATGGGGAAAATTGCAGACATTCTTCTTTAGACATTAAACAATTAAATTGTTTAGAAAAACAATAATTTTGTCTAAACACATTGTATGAAGTATTGTACTATTCGGTGATGATGCGATGATCTTTAAGGTTGAGGCTGCAAGCACTGATGTTAACCACTCTATTTTTCTCAGTAGTATTTCCCAGAAAACAGCAGTTCAAACAGTCACTGTTTAGCATTATCCATTGTAAGATTGGAGGCTGATTGTATCTTTGCTCTGAAGCAACTTAACTGTTAACTCCCTAAAAGAAAGCTTCAGAATTTGTGTAAAGTATTATGCAAAATGATTGGAAGGCATTTTAATTGTTAAACCTAGAAGGTAGCTGTAAATTTCTTCTTGAGGATGAAGGCTCTTCTCATTAGCTTTACAGTTAGCATTACCCAGGTCTGAGTTCTTTCCCGTTCGAAACACAAAAATGCTTTGAAAGTATGTTTAAAGTTCTAACTCCCCAAACTCTTTAGTTTCCTTTTATATATCACATGTGTTTATAGAATATTTATTGAATGTCCTCTTGTGCCTGTCCAAGGCTATAATGCGGTTGATAGCAAGTTGAGAAGCAAGGCTGCTCTTAAAATTCTCAACACACTAGATACAAAAAAGAAATGTGTCACAGAGGGAACTTAGGCACCTAGGAGGGAAAGATTTGAGGATTTGACAATAGATGAGTTCCCCTGAAGCGACGACCACCCCCCAATTTAACACTCAATTACCAGTTCTGCATGGGGCTTGGCCTTCTGGAGTTTCTGATAAAGATGCTGAGAAATGATTATTTTCAGCTTTGCGGTAATACAAAAATCTATTAAATATCAGATGCAAACACAAAAGTCCTTTGAATCAACCTTTTTTTAATTTCTCACTTGGTGTGTGATTTGCTTGAGTCTTTTTTAAATTAAATTTCTACTGCAAAAAAAGATACTTCTTCTTGGAAAACATTTTTGGAAACAGTTTTTGTCTCTGGGGAAAGGTAATAAGTTTTTGTATTCGATCAGGTACTTAAAAATAGAAGGTGAATAACTGTTTTCTTGGCAGGTTATCTTTGAAAGCTACTTAGAAAACATATCTATCAATATTGTGCATGTAATAATAGTATTATATATACTTACCATACATTGTTACAATGATTTGTTTCTATTTTTTAAATTACTTTCATTGATGTCTATTTAGGTAATTTAAAAAAGATACATTATTTAGAAGAGGTTCTGTTGTAATTATTGGGAAGTATGTTATTTACAGTATACAAACTATACGGGATGTCCTGACATGTCCTGACATATTATGAAATATTTTTTAGGGATTGTTTTATTCAAACCTTTATTTATTTAGATGTCTTCAGTTCAAATAAAGAACTAGAAAGTGAACCCCACCCCCACCCCCCGCCCCCGAGGCTTAATTGAACATCTGGGGCTTGTGGAATGCTGAGAACAGAGTTAAGGTTAAGAACGTGAAAATTGTAAGTCTGCTACTCATATTTGCTGTTGATCTATTATTTAAAATAGTTCTGTAACAGCTGCATTCTGCCTACCTGAACGGGCAGGAAGGGTGCTGTATTTATACAGAAGCAAACCCCTGCATGTGACATAGTGTAAAAAGAGAATGTACGAAGCTTTCTTCACATGACACAAACATCTTTTCTCCTTATTTGAAGGAAGAGAAACTTCTCTATGTGAAGTCTGAATTGTCACAAAGTTCTGTTTTACCTTTAAGTTACAGAGTTTTAAAACGCCATCATCATAATTAATAATAACATGATAATGATAATGATAATAAAGATCTCATCCTGGCAAATGTAGACAAACATGTCTATATTATTTTTAACAATAAAAACAAACAACAAACAAAAAATAAGCCCCTCACTGTGAGGTAGGCATTTTGTATATGTTTTAGAAGCGAGGAAACGGAGACGAAGAAAACTGAAGTAATTTGCACAAAATCACAGCGTGCTGAGTAGTAAAGATCTGGATCCAAAGCCCTCGCCCAGCCCACAAAGCCTGTTGCCTGCCCTGTTGGGAGTCCTTGGCAAAATTGTGGAACCCTTTCCGCTCTCTCAGACCAGAACCTAAAAACACCTTGTGCGTCGCTGACACACTGTTGAAGTGGCTCCCACACGCACAGAAGGATGGACGAGCTGCCTCCCAGCCAGGTGGGGTCCGGTTGCCACCTGTTCAGTTCAGGCGATGGAGGGAAGGGTGGGAATGATGGGACTGGTAGAAACCTGGGCCCCTTCCTTATCTGCAGTCCTATTGTCTCAGATCATTTACATTCATGGCGCACTCCAGGACTCCCGTCTCAGCAAACTGCCAGGGCTCTGCTGTGGGAATCTCCTTGGTGTGCAGGCTCAGAAGGAGCCCCTGGAAAATGGCTGCTGCCCCAGGTAGGAAGTTGACCCAAGTGAGTTCCTTGACTCTTGAGACAGGGGCTTGGTTATAAGAGGAAAGAGCGTTCTGAGACTTGAAACAGAGGAAGGAGAAAGTGAGTGAAATTGGATTTAAATGGAAATCTGATGTTCATTTGAATTTGTTCCAGTTATGCTTGGAATGCCTGATGCATTTGAATTTTCAAGTTTAGAACAGTATTATGTGAAAATGCCTCGATAATTCCAGAAAAGAATATGTCTAAGGGGAATGAGGAAGGAAAGGTGTCTTTTATTACTTTCAGCTTTTCCTTAAATCCATTTAATTATAACAGCAGCTTACATCTTTAATAGCTTTCCAGGGCACTTTGTGATATGTAACTTCATTTTATTCTCACGATAAACCTTCACTGTAGGCAACACAATTAGTATTTTCTCCATTTTGTTGATAATAAAAGTAAGAGGCAGAAAGATTATATAAATCTATTATTACTTTTACTACTGATGGGGTAAGTCAAACAATAAAGTTGATTATTTTTAAAAAGTGTATCTATATCTATATATGTCTACAACTATGCCCACTTTATTTTAACTTAAAGATACAAATGTGCATTTTGACCGGGGGTAAGGTCATGTTTTTGGTGATTGAAGTCCTCTATAATTTATTTCTCTTTCATAAATTATCCCCATATTGAATCATCTATAATTTCCAGA